AAAGCACCTTGTCCCCGTGCCAATGGAGACAAGGGCCTCTTCCCCGCAAGCCCTGGGGCGTTGGTTGTGGGGGTGCAGGCAGGGGGCTTATTCACATGAGGTTACCCCTTTAAAAAAGGGGCACCCAGATGCCACCTCCCCCCTTGTGAATGAGTAAGGGGTACATGTACCCTTACCCATTCACTAAAGGGTTAAATAAAATCGTTTTTGACAAGTCTTTTATTTTTTTTTAAAAAAGGATCCACCGATGTAATCCAGGGTGAATCACAACATCCAGCATTGTCCACGACGATGACGAAATAAAAAATAAAACAATGAAAACTAAATAGAAATAATTTTTTTTTTAACGATGACCGCCATCCCGTCTGCTCACAACGAACACCCGCCACAGTTGTAACAGGGTGAGCCATGATGGGGCAGAGCTCCCGGCCGTTTTTTTACAACGGCCGGTCCGGAGGTAGATAATAAAGGAATTAAGCTTTTGTAAAAGCTTAATTCGTTTATCAATGAAAGAATTAAACTTTTACAGATACCTGATCGCTGTCAGTGACCGAGTATCTGACAGTGACAACAGAGCTGTGTGAAGGGCTCTGCTATATCACTGTTTTGACAGCTCTGTACAGATCCCATATGTACAATGATACAGTGTTTCATTTTGCTACATATTTCTATGCTTCATAATGAAACATTATATAATTGTAATAAAAAAAACATTGTATCATACTTCTGACTGTTCTAAAAACATCAGAAGTCTTTAGTGGCATCTCAATCTGACATGCTGCAGGATAAGTCACTATATTGGCTGTATATATATTGGCTGTTCTTAAGTTTTAAGCAGGCTAATAATAACCAAAAATTTAAAAATAAATAAATTACATTATCAGACAGTCATAGTGGCTGCTTAATATAATAGACAAAAAAAGTGGGGGGAAAAGCGTAAAGTATGAAAAAAAAAGTGTAAAGAAATAAAAATTATTTAACAAAATAAAAATGATATATACAAATATATTTTTTCCTATAATTATTACACAAGTTATCCCCTTTCCATGAAAATCTGCAGCTGAGCTACAGATTTGTTTTTTCACCCTAAGGGGTAAATTTTTATATTTAACCCCCTCATGACGGCGTTGTTCAAAGTATGTCCTTGTCACTAAGTGTGACAGTTATTGACACTTAGCTACATTGACATTGTAGGCCACCCTAACCACTATTAGGTTTTAGAGGGGAAAAAATTAAATGTTAGCTTTTTGTTTTTAGGCTGAGAAGTACAAAAATAATTCTCAAATCCTAAGGATGTGAGGTGTTTCCAAATAAATGGGGTTTTTTTTAATGCATTTTTTTAGCTATTATATTTTTCTAAAAAAAAACCCCAATAATAATCAAAACTGGAAAAAGTGTTTTTTCCCCCTTGTTTTATTCATCCTAAGTGAGTCTTTAGGCACACATATGTGATATAAATATATAGCCCTATCTGTCCTCTAAAAAACAATATATAATATGTGTAGGTGCACTTAATAAGAAAGTATATTACTGCTGTGGAAGAATCACACAGCAAAAATGTAAAAAGTGCGTCAGTCATTAAGGAACAGAAACTAAAAAACGCTCAGTCATGAAGGAGTTACATTAGTAACATGTATTAATTTTCTGTTGTTGGTGCACGTCCAGGGACCCAGTGGGGATCAATGGGGATGCGCACCAAACGCAATAAACAAAGTCCCGCAAACATACAGGAATGCGCATTCCTGTGACATACATTCATGCTACGCCCTGGTGTTTACAGAACCTAAACGTGACTGGTTAACCGCCCCACCAATGATGTTTTGCCTTTTATTGGAGCTCTTCTCTGTGTCCTCTCTTCTTCCTCTCCATGTAATCGGTAACATTCTTCTCCACTTGGTGCACACACAGCGCCCCCTGCTGGAGAATCTTTGTAAGTGACAGACAAGTGATTTCCAGGAAGCTGCATGACTTCCCATAACAGGGCAGAGCCGCCATCACCCAGCTGAGCACAGAGAAGTCTTAAACTGACACCTACTGCTCTCATGTTGTTCTACAACAGTCCAAAAAAAACTTTTAAAGTACAATTATGAGGTGAGTGCTTTTCTGAGCCGACCTGTGACAATGAAACTGTCACAGGTCGGCTCAGTAGATCGGGAAGTGAGCGAACACATACCGGCGCTCGCTCACTTCTCGATCTATCCCTGCAGGTGAGCCGTGCCAGGGGAGTGACTGGATTCCCCCCTCCCCTGTCCGATCCTCCAACGCTGACTGGCAGAACGGACAGGGAGGGGGCGGGTACAGCTGGCCCTGCCTCTAGATAGGCAGAGCCAGCTGTCACTCACGCAGCTGGGCGGATCCAGACATAATTGTCGGGAACCGTTTCAGCTGCGGCGTCTCAGTATACCGCGAGCTGCAGCTTGCGGTATACTGAGGTTTGGGTGACGGGAGGACGCTAGTTTGTGTCCTCCCGTTACCCTTCGGAGAACTATGGGAAAAAGTCTTAACCCCATAGTTCTCCTTTAACTAACAGGGTTATTCACAAAAGGGTGAAGAGTTTGGAGAAGGCCGGAGAAGTGAACAATCTAGGACGACATAACTGAACTGGAAAGTGAGCTGAATTGGAGAATTGTTTTAAATCAGCTATTATGACCTAGATTGCTCACTTCTCCCGCCTTCTCCAAACTCTTCACCCATTGTGAATGTGGAAGCTGGA